GTTGTTGTATTATAAGGGGCGGGGGGGGGGGGAGAGACCAACAGAAGACAAGGATTTATGAGAGCATATGTGAATGTGATTTATGTGAATGGATTGTCATCCTCCATGATGTTAGAAGTTGGTGCCGTCCAAAGAACGTGAAGCATGGAAAGCTCAGGACAGAAGAGAACTACAGGATTTATTTCTTGAACTTGTATGCCGCCCATCAAGACATAGTCTACTCTGGGCGGCTCACAGAACACAAAGTAAAACAATTGAAATAAAATCGCAGTTAACAGCACATAGATAATAATTCAAGATGGAGAGAATAAAAAGAAAATTAAATAGTGCCCAGAGGGAAGGCCTGTCTGAAAAACCAGGTCGTAAGTTGGTTTTTAAAAAATGCCCAGCGAGGGGACCAAACGGATCTCGGAGCGGAGTTTGTTCCACCAAACGAATCTCGGAGCGGAGTTTGTTCCAGAGACAGGGAGCCACAGCCGAGAAGGCCCGGTGTCTCTTTCTTTTTTTTCTGGACCTCCCTCGGCGTTAGGCTCCTCAGTTGCCCCTCCTGACTAGAACGGCTGATATGAGTAGATCTAGGTGGGAGGAGGCGTTCCGCCAAGTATCAAGGTAATCATACTACATGATGCATAGTCAAGTTGTAACCAGGGTTGGGATTTTGGGGCTTTTAGGATAGGATTCCCACTCCTAAATTTGCTCAGCATCCCCCACGCAGAATTCTGGGACTGGGAGCCCAGAAACAAGAAAGCTTCAAAACAGCCCTTTCTTCCTCCTTACTCTGTCAAATCACCTTCAACTTGTGTGGACCCTACATATGAGTGACCTTCAGAATGTACTATCATTAAGAGTCCTGCTCAGCTTTTGCAAACTCCAGTCAATCTATTCCCTATTTGGTCTTCCTCTTTTCCTACTGCCTTCAACTTTTTACAGAATTAATGTCTTGTCATGATGTACCCAAGTATGACGGTTTCAGTGTAATCATTCCTGCTTCTAGGGAGAGAGAGAGTACAGGGTTGATTTGCTCTAGGACCTACCTGTTCATCTTCCTGGCAGTCCAACAGTTAATTAAATCAACATTATTTGTGTTATTCATAGCATAGATTTTTCTATCTCATCCTTGTGGGAAAGTACATATATTTTTGGCAAAATAATTGGCTTAAAGCTAAAATGAATTGAAAATACGGTACTCAAATGTACTGCAGGAAAATATTCCTATTTTCACTATGACTGAATATGACAGGGTTTTAAAATATATTACTGCTATCACTGTACTTTTTTAAAAATTAAACCAATTTCTATATCCATCCTGTATTTTTTTTTCCTTTTTTGAATAGTACAGTACAGGCCTTATTTCCAGAAGAAATGCAAAACCCCAGCAGATGGCAGTAACAATGCAGCCTTGCTATTCTGCAGTTCTAAGCGCACATCTCCCTCAGAGCACAGGGAACTAATTTCAGATTAAACAGTGCACAGTATTTCATAAGACTGTGATTCGTAAGGTGCATTTAAGAGTAAGTGGCATTTCAGATCTGTTTTGTTTGCTCAAGGACAGAGAAGGAAGCTTTCAGGATCCTAGTCAAAGTGACTCATAATTCTTTTCAGGCCATAAAGGTAAATTCCTTTGATGTTCTGTGTGTTGACTCCCAATTTGTCCTTGCACTGAACTGCTGGGTGTACCAGAAGTCTTTTATCTGATATGGGTGGGTGGATCATTCACTTACTCCAGTGGATGGAAGAAGTCATGTACACACGAGCCTGCCAGTTAAAAATGAGCTATTTGCATCATCACTCATGCTGCTTACCTCAAAGACTGGAGTAACGCCAAGACAGTCTTGAAGGAGCTACATACCCAGATTGAGAGTGTGTTGGTGGAAACAGTCGTGGAGTTGCCACCAAACCTGTCTCAGGCCTTTTTGCCTAGCTTGCTGCCTTTGGGGGAGA